GGCCGCATTGCTACGCACCACCATCGTCCTCACCAAGTTAATCAATGAGGGGGACAGAATGGCCCACTGGGGTACCACAGATCGGTTTTGAAACTGCTGCGTGTCCGGCCGGCCGAAGCAGATTTGAAATGTCCGGTGCGTCAAGAAGCTCCCTAAGAAATTGTTCAGTCTCTTGCCTGGGTAGGCCACCGCCAGCGCCTCCAGCACCGCCATGTGTGTGATGGTGTCGAAGGCCTTGCGGAGGTCCACCGCGACCATGATGCGCGGTTCGCGGTTGTTCGTCGTTCGCAGGACCCGCCGCGGCAGGAACAAGCTGTTGTCGTTATCAATTCGATCAGCCTACATATGGTGAAGGTTACAGAGATCGGACGAAGGTTGGCCATCTCCGAGGGACCCTTTCCGGGTTCGGGGATCAGCGTGACTAGGGCGTACTTCAGGGCCGTCGGTCCCTTAACTGGATACGCCGGATCCCGAGCCGTGTGGCCTTCTGTGCGGCACAGGTTGCAGCACTGTTTCGTTCAGGCAGGCTTCAATCTCGTGTTCCTTTCCACAGGAAGCGCACACTGCGGTGTGGGCAGTGCCTCCGCATCTGCCCGTTTTTGTGACAAACGTAGCAGACCCCGTGAGGCCTTACGGCACACAGCTCGAAGGAATTTCGCACTACCTTCGGTGGAGAGGTGGTGTCAAATGCAATTAGGGCCTAGTTGGTCTTGACCAGGCGTCTGGTCTCGAGAATCATGGCAGATTCACACGTAATGTTGCTCCGCAGGTCGTCATCGGTGTCGCCCGATTTCACTCGAAACACCACTCGGGAGGTTCGTCGTGGCCAGAGCAGCTGGGCCTAGAGTTCGAATGCATGCCCATCGATGGTCATGCGGGGTATACTGCACAGTCTTGCAACGTCAGGTTCGTTATATAACAAGATTGTGATGGAATTACTGCGTTGATCGATGTGGGTCGGTGTTAAGGCGTTCAGTGAGTGGTGCAGGGCGGCCTGGGCAATTACTGCCGCAAGGCCGCGTCGTGAGATGGTTAAGACATTGGTGTTGTTTTTGGGGCGGAGCCACACCGTGAATTTCTCTTCCGACATTCGAGAGACAGCATGCAGCTTCCGAGCGGGGTGGCGGTGTTCAGCGATGACGGAAGGGAATTCCACTCGCCGCTGTCGGTGTCTTCCGAAGTAGGTGGGGTCGTGCGTGATGTTGCGGATTGGCTTTGGAATTTGTCAGGAGTCTCGTCGCTCTGCTTGAGCTTGCGGATGTCCTTTGGGAGCTCATCATTCGGTGGAGAGCAGCCTATGTCCATGGGGGTGGCAATGGCTGTTGGCACAGCTGCCGGTGTGGCGGCCAGGTGGTTAGGCCTAGCGAACGCTGCATCGTTTGCCGGCAATCTTGGGAAGCTGCCAAAACGCGTCCGAACTTACTGTATATAAAATTTCGGGGGCGGTCGGGTCATCAGGACCGGACGGGCGTCAATTTCGGAACGGACCGATGCCAAAATGGTTGTAAAATCCGAAATATTGGACCTACCTCTTCGAAGTTTTGGGTGCAGGTCTACCTTGACCTTCGACGTGTGGTCACAGTAAACTTCAGAGTGAAAATAGCGAATTGCATGCCTTTTGACGTGCCGCTGGGCTCTCAGGCCCAGCGCTCGCAGCACTCTTCCATTTCAATATGAGTTCACCATATAATGCACGATCGAGGCAATGTCAATCGATCGTCATCGTCATATCGTCGAATAAGCAGCACAGCAGACGCTGTACAAAAGCATTACCATGGAGCGACACCTCGCGCTACAGAACGCAGGGATCCTGGGTTCAATCCCCACCCCTGGTCGTTTCGATCAGGATGAGCATCGTACCGGCGTGCGGTCGTGTATCACTACTGCGTGATGCACGTTAAGGACTCCAGGCTAGCAGTTGTACTGCACTGGCTACTTTTCTCTTGTACAGCTGAGAGACAAGGCACCCGTTGAGGCACACTAAGTTTAGGCTGCATAAACAAACACACACACTATTAAACGCATTGCGTCGTATGCTCGTCGCGCAATTTTTAATGAACAAGGGGGAAGTTTGTTTTGGTGTGGGCGTTTCAAGAGGCAATCGGGGTTCAATCTTCGGGTTGCCCTGAGCCTATGTTTCCGAGCAGAAATTTTCGTCTGCACGCTCGTTGACGTGCTTTATACCAGACACGTTTCTCTCGCTATCAGTCGAAGAAGAGAAGTTCGATTTTTTCGACTGATGTTGACTGGAGTAAAAACTCCCCGAATCACCCTTGACCTTTTCAGAATCGCCGAAATCTATCAGAATTAGCGGTTGTCTTGGATTTCTAGGCAGTTAGACACCCTCCCTTCATATTAAGGCAGCCCAGAATATATTTGGAATCTGCTCCCGGAACTCCTCAACAAAGCTGTTTTTGTGCCCATCTGCGGAGGTTTCGTACGTTTCCGGCACGGCTGACCACCTACAACAGCACCTATTACGTTGCACGATAAGCGTGTGACCAGCTCCAAAATGCGGAAGGAATCTTGGAAGTCAAGAAACAAGCATTTGTTCAAACCTGCGTCTGTATGGAAATACAAAGTTGCCAATTTTGTTAAAGTTGTCTGTCGAGATAAATTGCGTTTTTGAGGGCGGTAGATTTTTCACCGGTTTTCTAATCACCTCTTTTTTTCTGTGGATTAATATAATTTTTAGTTTTAACTTAACGGAAGACACTTTGCAGAGATTTCGGCCTCATGGGTTGTCGTCACCGCGCGCACGAACAGTAGAAAAACCTTTTTTCTCTGCCCTTTTGGCGCGAGGAGATGAAAGTCGGGACTTCCAGTCAGCCGTGCCGCGTGAAGAGAGCGAAGAGGGCAACTCTGGCGTCCCGCCAAGAATGGCGCGACCAAGAGAGAATCGTCGTGTCGTCTGCATTAAAGATCTTGTCTTCAAACATTATTCGCGTTATGCGAAATCCCTCTATGGCAGTATCCAGTTGCTATACGCGTAATGGTGGGTGGCTTTAGAAACTACCACCACGCTTACCCACTTCGCGGATCAGCGAGCACTGGTTGCGGTCGTGAGTGGCATCCACGACGCCAACCACGACAGCTATGGGAACTAACCACGCAGCACCTCCGTCCTCAGATATGTGACGGCACCATTTCACCCGCTTTGCGCGACCCTGCTTTTCCAGCTATCGTTTTCCTCTCTTCGCACATTGTGGGCAAAAATACTACTTTTTTTTTATTTATCATTCATAAAAAGCTTAAAGTGCAAGTTAACTTAGTCATAGGATCATCATCGTTGCTTACCCTTTCGCTAAATTGTGGTCAGTGAGAGCAACGCTCATCGCCATTGAGATATTACAGTGGCGAACATTGGAGAATACATTAACTCATTTCTGCGTGAACATCTCAGTGTGATTTAAAGTAGGTCAGGTAAAACGGGCCCAATAATATACGCCCAAAAGTTAGATACGTGAGGGCTACAGGACCGTAAATGTTGAGCTAATTTTGGTAGGTTTAAGCTGCGTCAGACGAATCATATACAACCACCGTAAAACAGAACTTTGAGCGAGGCATTTGAATTTGCACGCCGAAGATTTGAGATCTCACTAAATGTAGCAGAAAACATTGAGACAATGGAGGTGTACGACAGGAGGTATGGCAATACGTCTGGGACCAGTGGGTACAAGCAAGATGAGGCAATGGACATCAGTCTGTTTGTAAATGCAGTCTGACTAGAAAAGGAGGAGTTATTTTAGAACTTGTGTTTATGGATTTTTTTAGACCAATTATAGAGGTAAATTCTACTAGAATGTCCGTCTTGCCTTTCATCCCTGACATTTATTTTTGCTTTATGCCTACTGCTGGTTTTTAATTTGTGGGCTGGCAGGGCTGTATGGGTCACTAAAAAGCACGGACCGCGTCTCCGCGCCGTGTAAATTATAAGCAGAGCAATCACAGAAAACACATATTTGATCAAAAGCAAAATTTTGTTTCATCAAAGCGACGCACTGCTATGAGCTAGTTGGGAGACAGGCAATCTACCTCCAATTACGAGCAGTTAACGCGAATAGTTAGAAAGAAAATTATGAGACTGTAGTTAATTCCTTTTTTTCAAATTAAAACGGTATGGCCGAGCCCCGCTCACTGCAGCTGATAATAATATCCAGAATGAATTCCTTCTAAATTTGAAGTTTGTTGCGTTTGTTGCAACAATCTGCGTTTGTTGGGCGGAAGGCTTAATCTCTAAATAATCAATACCGGACAAAGCTTTCGAACGATCATTGTAAAAACCTGCCAATTCTAGATATTTGTCAAGTCTAAAAAAACTTCCTAATAGATTTCATTTGAAGTGATTTCAAAGTGGCTATGCAGACGAGTTGGTTCATGACAAAACGGGAAAGAGTGTACACATAACCAAGCTGAGGAAGGTGGAGACGAGACAAGCGCCGGTCACGTCTACACCTTCCTCGTGCTTATTTGTGCGCTGTTTCCAGCTGAGCTGTCTCATTGGTTCCGTTTTTTTGTGCAAACTCGCAGTGAATCGCTGCAGGACACCATGGTCTTATTCGTTCCATGCGCTGAATAGCGGGCAATTTCCAATCTTACACAACACGATTCAACGCAAACCCCCTTTGCAATGAGCATTCGCTACGGGTGATTCATTATTAAACCTTTGTTATCGCATGATATTTAAGTTCGTCTGGGTTTGGACGTCGGACAAAAGAGCTAATCTCCACTGAATAAATAACGCTCACGACAAACTTTTTTTCCCGACAGAACACATATGCAAGCCGAAAACAGCTTTTCCATGAGCGGAATTTGTATCGAGTCCAAGGAATAAAGCATCTTGCAAAGCGCAAGCAAACGAGTTTCAATATATACCTGTAAAAATTTCAATGAGATCACTTTTAACGGAACTATTGAAATCTATCATTTCGCCGTGTTTCCTAGATCACGGTTTTTCACAGACCCTAGGACGGTAGCGTCTACATATACGGCAAACTTACCCATATCTTGCGAATGACGACAATGCTGTCATAACTTCTTGACTGGCGTTCCGGTCTTCGTCTGAGTAGCTGTCATAGTCCCAAAGGGGTACCCCGAAATAATATGGGACGTCCGCCAGGTGGGGGACGCCACTCCACATCGGCAAGGTCGACTTGGGGGACATGTGGCCGAACACAAACGAATATACCGAGTTGCCCTTTCCCGAATGTTTCTGGGCAAAATATTTCATGGGGCACACGAAGATCGAGTCAGCAAAAAACTCAGTGTACATTCGCCTTAACTCCTCTTTGTTATCCTGTGCCGCCTGTGCCGCGTAATACCCCACGAGATCGATGTACTTGTCCCCCATCCACGTGATTGCCATTTCTCGAAGAGCTGGTTCTAGTTCCTCCACAGAAACATTGCTCAAATCTTCGTCCCAGAAACGTTTGTCTGGCTGCGACACCACCATGACGGTGCCTTCCGAACGCGTGACACTAACCATGGCGTCGACGTCCGCGAACCGACCCTGCCTCAGTGCCAAAACTGGTCGAACAGGAAAGAACTCGTTCGGATAGGTCGGTACGAACGAAGCAAGTTTAGGGTCAGTTAAGTTCCTCACAGCAGCGAATAGTGTATCCATCGGCTTGCTGCGTAAGCATTCTAATACAATGTCCGGGTGGCTAATCAGGTCAAGGAACGGTGCCGTGCAATTGAGTCTCGCGGCCACCTGGCTTCCTCGATCTGCACTCTCAAGCAAGGTGTCTATCAGCCCGACGGAATCGTAAGTACCGCTCATCATGAACGCTCTGTGGAAGAGGCCCCTGCTCATAGGAGATATGATGTGAGCGTGCACGCTGTAAGCGCCGGCGCTTTCGCCGAAGATGGTCACCCTCGTCGGGTTTCCGCCAAATGCGTGGATGTTTTCTCGTACCCACTGCAGAGCCAGTCTTTGGTCCAGGAGCCCTACGTTACCAGGAGCGTCAGGAACTCCGGCGTCGAGAAAACCGAACATACCGAGGCGATAATTGATGGTCACAACCACTAAGTCGTGCATTGCCGCCAGCAGAGAACCGTTGTGCGTGCTCTGGTAAGAACTGCCCAAGGCGTAGGCTCCTCCGTGAATCCATACTACGACCGGTCGCGTCGGTCTCACAGTACTGGCTGTCCACACGTTCAGGTAGAGGCAGTCTTCGGATAGATCCGTTTCAATTTGGGCCACCGCTGGGTTGAACTCTTGAGGACAGGAAAACCTCTTTTGGGTGGCATCATAAGTACCGGTCCATGACTTCGAAGGTAGTGGTCTGCGGAAGCGAAGGTGATCAATAGGCGGCTCCGCGTATGGAATCCCAAAATAAACTTGAACCGTTTTTCCGGAGACGGTTTGTACCCGTCCTTTAAGCTGCCCCTGCTTCGTTTGGACAACCGGTCCATCTTCCATGTCCGTTGCGGCGACGCAGACGAGAAGAACGGCAATAGCCCATGTATGAAGCATTTACTTCGCAAAAGGTTTTCCCGACCAGGGAGGAACACAGAAATCAGACACTGTCAGTTTCTACGGTGCACAGGAGCATACGACGAGCCTCTCGCAAGAGCCTCTCCGTGTTTCGCAAGTACTAAGGCACCGTTCTGCTCAAACGCGTCCTTTTTTATCCTGTGACAGCTTGTACTCGATTAGGTAAGCGTAAAATAAGAGCGCAGCGAACGCAAGAGTAATCTACGTCGTTTTAGTAAAGCAACAGCTGTGCGAGGACAGCTTCTAAAAACAAGCTCTCGCACGTTCGCCTTTGCCGCCAACACTTTACAACTTCGGTATATACAATATACAGAATTTTTCTTAAGCCTTACAAATAAAAAAAAAGGTTGTGAAGGCCACGGAATCGCGGGTTCTGCTTGTGAGCAACACGGGAAAAGGGACACAATACAGTCGGTTAATTGTCAGGATAAGTCGGACAACTAACTAAAACTTCGTAATTAACTGTGTCTGCAGATATACATACAGTACCAATCAGAAACTCCGTGAGCGTCACCGGATGTCACGGAATAAGTAAATTCTATAAATGCTTGGGGGGCGTGGCAAGTGCGGAGGTGCGCTAAAGTTACCGCTCGTGCAAAAGAAGTGTAGCGTTCACGCGCCCCGCTTTTTCCCGTTTCTGCGGTTAGCTAAAAGAAGATTAGGATGGGCGCCGCCACCGGGGCACGCGGTTAGGTCAGCAGCCAGAAAAGGAGGAAATACAATCGAACCTTTTTCTTTTTTTCTACAATGCCAAAGTTTTTTTTTTTTTTTTTTTTTTTTTTTACATAGCCCTTTTTCTGTCTTAAAACATAACGTCTACAAATTGCTGACCTCGGGTGACGAGCGATCCTTGCACTGTTCCAAGCCACTCCCAAGCTCCAACCGTACCCCTTCCCGATAACGGAAAGCTTACGGCTAGAAATTCCAGTTTAACAGAGTCCACGGCAGCTGTCCGGCTCAAACTGTCGCCATTTTGGACCAGAAATGCGAAGGTATGGTTTCCGCAGGTTGAAGCGCAATTTTGACTAAACCATATCACCTCACACGCAACGAGGTACCTTCCCGTGGTTTCCTCGCTGCCAGCGAACGTATCCAACGAGCTAGAAGACGTCCTCGCGGCCGCACCGACCGCCAACGAATATGACCACCTCAAGGCCGCCATCATCGGCCAAAAAACCGCATTGGAGCGCAGCCGGCTTCAGAGCCTACTCAACATGGAGTGCTCGGGATCGGCGTCCCAGCTACTGCGACGGGTGCGACAATTTCTGGGCGATGTCACTTTGGAGGCGGACATATCGCTGCTCCGTGAACTGTTTTTGCAGCGCCTCGCCAACAACGTGGTCGTTTTGCTTGCAGCGGTCGAGGACGTGCCCCTAGAGCGCCTGGCTGACTTGGCGAATCGAGTCTCAAAGTGTTCCGCAACCCCGGTGGTAGCCGCGACCAGCTCCCACTCACCAGCGTCGGAGGCCGCGGCGGACGTGCCAGCCCAAAACATAGCGGCCCGACTTGGCCGTTTGGGGAAGGCCACACAAGACCTACGTTTGACGGCCCCCGGAAGATCGCCTCCTCGGCGACGGTTAAGACACCGTCGAGCTTTCCCGGCGGCGCTGTCCAGAAGGGGTGGAGTATGCTGGAATCGTCGTATGTTCGGTGCATCAGCGCGCAAATGCTCCCAGTCATGTTCACTGCAGGGAAACCCGGCCACCGGGCACTAGCGGCGGTGGGTGCTTTCGGTCAAAGACCAAGCCGCTTGTTCTACGTCGTGGCTAACATCGCTGGCCATCGGCGTCTTGTTGACACCGGGGCAGAAGTCCGCGTCCTAACGGTATCACGAACCGAGAAGCGTCGCCTTTCCCTGACAACACTTAGAGCTGTCAACAGTACCTCCATCTACATACGGACACCTGGGCCTAAGGCGGACGTTTCGTGGTATAGAAATCCAGGCGAACATTTGCCCGTCTATTCTCGGTGCAGATTTTCTCAGCCACATTAGTCCTGCTGCATTGTGAGCGCGAAGGCGCACCTTTCCACAAACGGCATCGCGTCATTTTACGTTGTCTGGGGAGTACGCCCCGCTCCCCCAAGTTCAACATTTGACGAATTGCTGACCGAGTTTCCAGAGCACAGCAGGACCAACAGCCTGGACCAACCGGTGCGGCACTCCGTAACTCATCATTTCGTCACCACTGGGCCTCCAACGTTCGCAGGACCACGTCGCCTCATGGGCGAGCGTCTGTGAATTGCCCGCCGCGAGTTTGACCATATGTCACAACTCGGCATAACCCGGCCATCGGCGAGCAGCTGGTCCTCACCTCTACACCTACTCCCCAAAGCAAGCGCGGGGACTGGCGACCACGTGATGACTAACGCGCGCTCAATGCCCGCACCGTCCCGGAGAGGTGTTCTCTTCCCCACATCCACTTTAGGACCAACATGGATGGCGAAACTATCTTCACCAGGATCGACTTGGTTAAGGCGTATCACCAGATACCTGTCGAACCATCTGACATCGCCAAGATGGCCATTACTGCAGCATTTGGACTATTTGAATACTTACGCATGCTCTTTCGGTTACGAAACGCCGCCCAAAAATTTAAACACATTTCACCAATGAAGTGACTCGAGGCTTCGAGTTCTTGTTCGCATACCAAGATGATTTACCAGTCGCCAGCTCGGCCACGGAGGAACACAAACAACTCCCCCGGCCAATGTTCGAGTTCCTTCGGCCGTGTTGTCAACGGGTCCATATCAGATGAGCGACGTTTGAATGACCCATCCGCCGCGCTGCGCATTACGCCGCTTCGTGGCGACAGTCTGCGGCGGCTCATTACAAAAATGTGAACCCATTTGGACCACCCGAAAACGCCGCTTCGTGGCGTCCGACTCTTTGCTAAAGTGTCATTCGGTGAAACGTGGGCGTTCGCTAACACGTCATTCGATCAAGTGAGTGCCTCCCGTTGTCAACGCAGGCAAATGCGTGCTCGGCGTCCCGGCCATCGACTTTCTTGGGCATCGTGTCACTCCAGATGCCATCCCGCTTTCAGAGGAGAAAGTACAAGCGGTACGAGATTTTCCAACAATCAACCTTATTGCGTAAGTTGCACGAATTCCTCGGGCTTCTAAATTTCCGCCTAAGCTTCATTCCCGACTGTGCCCGTATGCTGCGACCTCTCACCTATTTGCTCCGCCCAAAGAAAGGCCTAAACTCAACGGTCGAATGGTCGGACGTAGCGACGTCTGCTTTCTCCCTCGCGAAGAAAGCCCTGGCTAACGCCAGAGTTTCGCCCACGTGACGACGCCACCCGAACCCCCCTCTTTGGTCTCATGACAGACGCCTTGAGGTTTGCTGCCGAAGCCGTGGCCAGAATTCCGGGACAAAGCGTCCTAGTTCCAGGTTTTGACGCCACGTGACGTAGGAACTTTAAGCGAGACAGGAAAGCGCGGAAAGTGGGCTTACTGCTGTCCCAACCTCCTCTCCTATGCATCTTCCCGGCCTCCCATTCAGTTACTGTTTTAGTTCGGCTGCCGTTGTTTGCAAGGAAATGCTGCATCGTATGTTGCAGCATTTCCTTGCAAACAACGGCAGCACATACAGATAAGCGGGGAGTTGGAAGCAGCGATAGTGGTAACGCGTTTTTCGTTAAGGCAGCACCGTACTCGTTACTTTGTTTGTAAACAGTAATGGGTAACGTACTTATGTTACTGATTTCGAGTAACGGGTAACATAGTTACGCTACTCGTTACACATCCTTCCCAAGACTTAAAACAAATTATACTTTTTTTTCGTATTTCTAGACCCCAAGTTATGTAAAGTTTTCTAGTTTCTTTGCATTTTTTTCTTGTGAGTATCTATATTTAGGTGAAACCGTAAGAGGGATAAAGTAATTATGTTCAGTTTCCGAACGAACATAATTTTTCTTGAAATATGGCGCTTGTGCATGCCTGTAACGTCAAAACAGTCAAATGTGTTAATTCCTAATTAACAAAGTAACGTGCGTTAAGTTGTAACGGTAAAGGGGTGTCCAAACAGGACACTACAAAACGCACGACTCCGACAAATCGTGAAAATTGAAGCGGGCGCGTCCGCTTCAATTTTCCCGATTTGTCGGAGTCGTGCGTTTTGTAGTGTCCTGTTTGAACACCCCTTAACGCGTTCCTTTTATTTTGGGGTAACGAAGGACGGAACACGTTCTTCTAATTTCCAAGTAACAGGTAACCTATATTGTTACTTTTCTTGGTGACGCCTGTAAGGAAACCTTTGACTCCTCTCCACCCCGTTCGTGACCATCGTGACCGTGATTGGTGACATCCAGTGGTTTCTTTCTGGAACACATCTCGGGGCAGAACGCCGTGGCTTGCCGTGATGTGTCGTGGCGAGGAGCGAAGTTTTCCCGGCTTTTTTGTTGGAGAGGTGAAGCGTTCACGGACCACGGTGCCAATTTGCATCCCCCCATTCGCAACTCTAGCGCCCTATAGGAGGCGCCACGATCAAACAAACATGGCGGCTCAGGACAGGTAGCGTCGGCTCGGCCGGGCCGCCTGAACGGGTTGCGCATTCAATTTAAGATTTACTTTTGTTTAATGCCCAGTTTTATAGGTATTTGAACTGCGACGGTTAAGTGTAGCCGGCGCACATAAACTTGCAGAGAATATGCGCACCGGCTTTCCAGGTGCTTTTTGTTCTTTTTACGTCAAACTTTTGTTTCGGAGATTTCTTTAAAAACCGAAACTATGCGCTCTGGAGAGACTGTATTAGGCTCTAATCAGTTTTGATCAGCTAAAGAAAGCTGCGATGACTACGGAATTGTTCCACCGAGAGTAATTTTCAGCTAACTCGCATGCCTCGACCATGCGACTTATCTGTCCGCGAAATCGAGCTTTTGTGCGTATCCAAGTTTAAGAAACACTTCCAGTCGTCTGCTCTT